TGTTGCAATGTTTTTCTCCTGTTCTGCCTCTCCCCCCCCCCCCCCCCCATCTATAGTGTCCGCATGGCATGGCCCTTATCATGGCCCTGATCACTGCCGAACGTTGACCGATTGTGCTATACCGCGCTTTACTGCAGGGGCCCAAGAGTTACAGCGGGGCCCCCAGGACATCTCACTAGGGAGATTTCCCTTCACTTCCTGTCCTATAAGCACAACAGGAAGTGACAGGGTGTCTCTCAATTCCTGGGGCTCTTTACTAGGTCACCTTGGGGAAGAAGGGGGGGGGCTCCTTATTAGGACACCTTACTAGGTCATCTTGGGAGGGGCTCCTAACTAGGTCCCCTGGGGGTGGAGCTCCTTACTAGGTCCCCTGGGGGGGGGATTGGGGGGAAGGGCTCCTTACTAGGTCTCCTGGGAGGTGGGGCTCCTTACTAGGTCTCCTGGGGGGAAGGGCTCCTTACTAGGTCTCCTGGGAGGTGGGGCTCCTTACTAGGTCTCCTGGGGGGAAGGGCTCCTTACTAGGTCTCCTGGGAGGTGGGGCTCCTAACTAGGTCACCTTGAAGGGGGGGAGCTCCTTACTAGGTCGCCTTGGGAGGTGGGGCTCCTTACTAGGTCACCTTGGGAGGTGGGGCTCCTTACTAGGTCTCCTGGGAGGTGGGGCTCCTAACTAGGTCACCTTGAAGGGGGGGAGCTCCTTACTAGGTCGCCTTGGGAGGGGGGGCTCCTTACTAGGTCTCCTGGGAGGTGGGGCTCCTTACTAGGTCACCTTGGGAGGTGGGGCTCCTTACTAGGTCTCCTGGGAGGTGGGGCTCCTTACTAGGTCACCTTGGGAAGTGGGGCTCCTTACTAGGTCACCTGGGGGGAGGGGCTCCTTACTCGGTACACCGATGGCACCAAAATTGAGGTTTGGCAGTTACAAGGTGCCCTCACAGGGAAATAAACAGAGAAGGGAAATGGTATTGCGTACCGACACCACCGTAAATGCCGTGTTGACGATGCCGGCTCCAATGGTGGCGTAGATTGGCTGATCCACTCCGGCTTTAGAGAAGATATCGGTGGAGTAATAGAAGATCTGGAAGAGCCGGGAGATAGAGATCACAGGTCAGTCTCTGGCACATTGCCGAGTGTCGGCACCTCACCGGTCACAGCGAGTGGAGACGTCTCACCGCATTGATGCCGGAAAGTTGTTGGGACAGTTGGAGGATTATGGCCACGATGATGGGTTGCCGGTAGGTTCTGGATCTGAAGATCTGCAGGATGGAGACCTTCTGCTCCGTGTCCATCCGTCTCTTCTCTTCCTTCATCTCCGAAACCGCGTCCGGTACTTCCCTGAGGCCGGTGAGACGCCGCAGACCTGGGAGACGGGCACACGTCAGGAGACCACCATAGCCACGCCCCATTCTACGATCACTCCCAATATACCCCATTCTACAATCACTCTCAATATACCCCATTCTACGATCACTCCCAATATACCCCATTCTACGATCACTCCCAATATACCCCATTCTACGATCACTCCCAATATACCCCATTCTACGATCACTCCCAATATACCCCATTCTACGATCACTCCCAATATACCCCATTCTACGATCACTCCCAATATACCCCATTCTACGATCACTCCCAATATACCCCATTCTACGATCACTCCCAATATACCCCATTCTACGATCACTCCCAATATACCCCATTCTACGATCACTCCCAATATACCCCATTCTACGATCACTCCCAATATACCCCATTCTACGATCACTCCCAATATACCCCATTCTACGATCACTCCCAATATACCCCATTCTACGATCACTCCCAATATACCCCATTCTACGATCACTCCCAATATACCCCATTCTACGATCACTCCCAATATACCCCATTCTACGATCACTCCCAATATACCCCATTCTACGATCACTCCCAATATACCCCATTCTACGATCACTCCCAATATACCCCATTCTACGATCACTCCCAATATACCCCATTCTACGATCACTCCCAATATACCCCATTCTACGATCACTCCCAATATACCCCATTCTACGATCACTCCCAATATACCCCATTCTACGATCACTCCCAATATACCCCATTCTACGATCACTCCCAATATACCCCATTCTACGATCACTCCCAATATACCCCATTCTACGATCACTCCCAATATACTCCATTCTACGATCACTCCCAATATACTCCATTCTACGATCACTCCCAATATACCCCATTCTACGATCACTCCCAATATACCCCATTCTACGATCACTCCCAATATACCCCATTCTACGATCACTCCCAATATACTCCATTCTACGATCACTCCCAATATACCCCATTCTACGATCACTCCCAATATACCCCATTCTACGATCACTCCCAATATACCCCATTCTACGATCACTCCCAATATACCCCATTCTACGATCACTCCCAATATACCCCATTCTACGATCACTCCCAATATACCCCATTCTACGATCACTCCCAATATACCCCATTCTACGATCACTCCCAATATACCCCATTCTACGATCACTCCCAATATACCCCATTCTACGATCACTCCCAATATACCCCATTCTACGATCACTCCCAATATACCCCATTCTACGATCACTCCCAATATACTCCATTCTACGATCACTCCCAATATACCCCATTCTACGATCACTCCCAATATACCCCATTCTACGATCACTCCCAATATACCCCATTCTACGATCACTCCCAATATACCCCATTCTACGATCACTCCCAATATACCCCATTCACACTGCGCACTCTGCACTCACTGGTCTTGGCCTGTCCCTCCTGCTCGCACACAATGTACAGGAAGCGGGGGCTCTCTGGGCAGAATGGCAGCAACACTGACTGGAGCGCAGCTGGGATTAGAGTCACCCAGAAGAGGACCGGCCACCGAGACTTTGTGCCCAGGAACACATCCAGACCCAGAACCTGAGAGAGAAGACATGAGGGCAAGAGAAGAGACAAATGGGG